AAACTCCCAGGTGGTTCTAATGTGGGGCCCAGGTAGCTTCGATTTACAGCCGAGATCTAGACAGAATTATCCAAGAAGACACTGTGGGCCAGACTGAGCCAGAGACCAGCTTGGAACTGCTGAAAATAAAGCATATGACATATGTTATTGATGAGATTATTAAATATCCAGCTAACTGGCAATCACAGTTTGCAAACTTCTAATTGCAGACTGTTCACTCCTGCTTACTAACGTAACAATCTACATTAATTCTTATGCTATTCACTTTCCAACTTTTTTTTTTTAATTTTTTTTTTTCAACGTTTATTTATTTTTGGGACAGAGAGAGACAGAGCATGAACGGGGGAGGGGCAGAGAGAGAGGGAGACACAGAATCGGAAACAGGCTCCAGGCTCTGAGCCGTCAGCCCAGAGCCCGACACGGGGCTCGAACTCACAGACCGCGAGATCGTGACCCGGCTGAAGTTGGACGCTTAACCAACTGCGCCACCCAGGCGCCCCTACTTTCCAACTTTTAAAAATGCCTCCGATACTTCATGATTCTGTGATACAATCTTCTTACAGGGTTTATTGGGAATAGGTTTCAGGTTGGGGGATTTACTATCATCTGCATTTTAACAGCTGCAGAAAAACTAGCTAATACCACTTTTAACAGTTTCTCGTGGGCTTCCTAGTTGTTGGTGCATTTGTTTCTTAGCATTAAAAAAATCCTCTCTCTTTCTACTTTGCTTCTTTTGGATTATCCCTAGCTCGGACATTTTCCTACAATTCATATAAAAATATGTTTTCATTAGCAAAGGCCTTGGTGATAATCCCTTTGTGATGTGTGATATGAAGGAGATTAATAGAAAACTAAATATTTACCGAGAATGATGAAGATATAAGGGGGAAATTACTTTCAGTCACAGAAATACAAATGATTCAGGGAAAGAGAAAGATGAGATAAAAGAGAAAAGTAGAAAAATGAGCCCTAGGAAAGGAAGAAGAGGAAGGGGAAAATGGAAACGCAAGACTGAATTTCTAGTCTACCTTCTCACTCACCTCTCAACGACAGAGGTCCCCAAAACACTGATTTTCGTTCTCAGGAATGCCAGAATGACACATCGCAAGCTGCTTAGTCATCTACACAGGCTGCAGTAATATCGGAGACATCTATCCCCCTTCATCATTCCCTATAAAATCAAAGTCTCTCTGGATTACCTGTGCTCTATTCTGACTGTCAAATCCCAGCCACATTCTGGGGCTCAAGACAACCCCAGCTACTTTAGGACTCTTTGGACTTCTTGGAGATAATGATTCTCAATCATACTGGCCTGGTACAACAGTGAACTTTTCAAAATTACCCGTCTGAGTACTCTGGTCACACTCCAGTTTGAAACACACGAACTCTGGGGCTAAATTATGGAATTGAGTCCAAAGCGATCACGGAATCCCAAGGTTCAAACGAATAGGCCTGCCCTAACATTTACAGGACTGGGGCAAGGGCACCATACACTAAATATTTAAATGATATAAATCAAGATAACAGCTAAATAAAATATACCCTATCCTCTGCCTTAACAAATATACCTTCATAAAGACCCAGAAGGCAGATTCAAATATGGAATTCTTGGGCTTCTTGAGTTCTATGTAGGAAGGCAGCAAAAGAATGAGAGCCAGTCCTCTGTCCCTGGTCCTTCCTTCCTTCCCCAGCCCCAGGCTGCAAGGTGCACTGAGGGGGCCTATGGTCAAATTCAGATACATACCCACGGTGGCACAGTCCATCTTTAGTGTGTCCAAGCCCTGGAAACAGGTCTAGTGCGCCAAGAAATTCCAAGGTCTTACATATTTAATGACAGTTCTGAACAGTGGTTCTCAGCTGGGGGCAATTTTGCCCCTCAGGGAACAGTTGGCAATTTGTAGTGGTATTCGGCTTGTCACAGCTTGCGGAGGGGGGTGTTAGAGCATCTAGTGGGTAGAGGCTGGGGATGCTACTAAACATCCTACAAGGTACAGAACAACAACAACAAGTGTTATCTGACCCAATATTAATAGTGCCAAGACTGAGATATCCTGCTCATATCTGCTCAAGATCACATACAGGCACGCCTTGGAGATATTGGGGGCTTGGTTCCAGACCCCTGCAATAACGTGAATATTGCAATAAAGGAAGTCAGATTAATTTATAGTTTTGTTTACACTATATGAAAGTCCAGTAAGTGTGCAACAGCATCAAGTCTAAAAAAATGTACACACCTTAATTTAAAAATACCTTATTGCTAAAAAATGCTAACCATCATCTGGGCTTTCAGCCAGTCGTAATCACTGATCACAGATCATAACGTAATGATAATAACAAAGCTTGATATACTGCAAGAATTAACCAAAAATGTGACACAGAGAGTGAGCAAAGTGAGCAAAGTGAGCAAAGGCTGTTGGAAAAATGGTGCCAACAGACACGCTTGATCAGGGTTGCCACAAACCTTCAATCCGTCAAAAAATGCGACATCTGCCAAGCATGATAAAGTGAAGTGCAACAAAATGAGGTAGGCCTGTATTTAAATTCCTTAACCCTGTTCTAGAAGGAGGGGTAAGGTTCACCCTCCTGGCTCCACAGACTCTTTCCCCCTCAGGAGAGCTGGTTTGAGGAGAGGCAGACAGGGTCTTCTAAAGTATGGGGCCCAGGGCCAGGAACTCCCTTGCCCAGGAGGGAGGGCAGTGCTGGGAATGAACCTCCCGGGTCCTCTAAACTGGCAGGACAACAAAGGCCTTCCACTGACCAAAACAGGGGGATGCCCAGGCTTCATCTGAATAGCTCAAGAGAGAACCAAGGCCCTGTCCCAGGCCGTTCTTTGCATCCATGGGCTGGCTGGTTCGGGGGCTGGATCCTTGCCAAGTACTCCTGATGAACTGAAACCTGAGTCTCTAACTTCCTGGAACCCAAAGAAACTCAGACCTTGAGCAAAGGCCCTTTGGCTGGCATGCACACATTTATCCAACTCTCTATTGGCATATGCCTGGAGAATACTAGTAAGTATAAGCAGCAAAATTACAAATATGTGCACTTTCGAGAGGACGATAAAAAATGTGGATTGTGCATCTCTGGTAGAGGAAGCCTTGGAGTCTGAGGATCTAAATAAATAAATAAAGTTTAACACAGATGTGGCTGAAGCACTCCCTGCCCTGGTGTCACTGTGGCCTTGGATTAGGTCTCAGTATTTTGTCATCCTCACCACTGAATCCTGCCGACTGAGGGAAATACGGATCTCATGGTGAAGAGTTCTCAGGAAATGGGGAGGATTTAAACCCACAAAGCAAACAGAACACAAATCCCCAGCAAGCAGAGCTCTTTTTCCTGTATGTCTGTCCCTTCTTGGCCCCTATCGGGGTCTCCTTGTCTCCACTTTTCTTTTCAGGACACTTTCCCCATCTCCTCTTTGGAGTCAAGTAGGGTCCAGCCCTTTGCCTCAATTTTCCTGCTTTCGTGGGCAAGAACTCCCGCAAGCCACAGGTCCTCAAAGCGAGGTCCCAGGCCAGCAGCACCGGTGCTACCTGGGAACAAGTCAGGAATGAAAGTTCCAGAACCACAGCAACCTGCAGTTTAACGAGCCCTTTAGGTGACTCTAATGCACACTTCCACTTTAAGGTAACTTCATCCCACCTCCAAAAACAGTTTAGTCAACTTTGTAGGTGTTCAGTCAGGCATGCCCTGTCGGGGTGGAAGATGAAGATGCCTACTCTCCTCCATGCCCCCAGCGTGGTTTATTTTAAAATATCAACTTTTTTTTTTTAAGTTTATTATTCTTTTTTTGAGAGAGAGAGAGAGCGAGCAGGGGAAGGGGCAGAGAGAGAGGAGAGAGAGAATCCCAAGCAGGCTCTGCCCTCCCCAGGTGGGGCTTGAACCCAGGAACCATAAGATCATGACCTTAGCCAAAACCAAGAGTCCCATGCTCAACAGACTGAGCCACTCAGGCGCCGCCCCCTTCCCATGGCCTATCAAACTAGCCTCCCCCCAAAAGTGTGTGCGGAGGAAGGTGGATAGGATTCTCAAAGCCGTATCGTTGCAAACAAATTCACATTCACTGTAAAAAAAAAAAAAAAAAAAAAAAAAAAAAAAAAAAAAAAAAAAAAAAAAAAATTCTACGAGAACCTAGCAGAAGTTAAATTTGCACCCCAAAGGTGTCAGAGTCTCCTGTCCATCTTTCTAGACATTTCGGAGCACACAGTGAATATGTTTATCCTTTAATAACATACACACACAAGTAGTTTGTGTTTTTGCTCATTTCGTAACAAATTTGGAAATATCTTTCTGGAAGACTAAGCAATATTCCGGCGTTTGGAGGTATAAATTGTGTGCTCATTCTGCCCTCCTCCCCGACCGCTGGGGCAGGAGGGCCGCACGAAACACGAGAGACGTGCAGAAAGTCAGTCAGCTGACGTTTTGGGATTCTCACCGGTTGTGGCCTTCTCGGTCTAACAGGAAAACTGTGAAGAGAACACAGAGTTCCTCTAGCCAGATTACCAACGCGGTGTGCTGAGGACTAAAACAACCGCAGGGAAGAAAAGGCAAGGGCAGAGATTCAGATGCGCCGACCTTACACACCCTCAGAAACCCAAGAAACAAGGCACACATGAAAACCACAAAAAGCAACCAGCTTGACGCATCCCAATTTCCAAGCAACAGAGGAGACAAGGTCATTATAACCGATGACATTTCCAGACAAAGTGACTTAAGAAATTAAAGGCGTGCCACGTATACCTCATTTCCCCAGGTTCGCGTACTGCAATCCACAGGCTGGAAGGGAATGGCTGATTTTTTCCACAGTTCCATGTTTCTGGGCGTTTTCGAGCCGCGGGGCGGAGGGAGCCGGCGGCGCGGGACGCAAGGTTCCCCACGCCGCCCCTTAGTCCCGCCCCTGGTCGTTCCAGGCCACTCGCGTGCCAAAGCCCTGTGGGGCGCGGGCTGAGCGCGGGGGACGATTGGTTCCGGGCCAGGGTGGGCGGAGCCAGAGTTTCGGCCTTTAAGAGCGCGCGGCGCGGCCACCCCGGTTTGCGTCGGCGTCTTCTGCGGCGTCCTCCGGTGTCCTCGGAGCCCTCGAAGCTCGGACCGGACCCCGAGAGTCATGGAGATGAAGGCCGTGTGCGTGCTGAAGGGCCAGGGCCCGGTGGAGGGCACCATCCACTTCGTACAGAAGGCAAGGGCTGGGGCGGAGGCCGGCGGGAAGGCCGCGCCCGCTCACCTGTGCCCCGGAGCGCCGGCCCGCCGGGCCTCTAGCCGCCTTCGTCACGCCCCCGCCGCGCGGAGTCTGCGGGTTCGCGCCGCCCGAGGCCTCTGCCCCGCGGCGGTGCGGCGGCCGAGTGCTGAGTCACCGGGCGGGCCGGGCAGGGGCGGCGGTGCGTGGCTAGGCCTGGGCAGGGGTGCAGGGAAGGAGCCTCGGGCGGCCCCGGGGGTGCTTGGAGAGCGCGGACGGAGGCCGGCTGCCCCGAGGGCCTGGGCCGGCGCCGCCGCGTCGGTAGGCCGGGGCGGAGACGTGACGTTTTTGCAGAGGCTGTGGCCCTTCCTTGCGGGGTCGTTTTCTGGGTCCTGAAGCTCGTGCAGATTCGGAGTTGCGCAGTCCGGGGCCTGGCCGCCCTTGAGGTTCGGGAATGGGGCGGCGGGGGCGGGTGGGGAGGGGTTGGTGGTGGCGAGTGCGGCCGAGCCACCTGGGTATAGTCGCATCCGTTACCCCGCTTTGGGGTTTCCTTTCCGCTCAAGAGGTCTGGAGCTTGCAGCCTGTGGGCACAGCCCGTCCCCATGCGGGTGTTCGTACAGCCCCGGAGCTAAGAGTGGTTTGTATATGGTTAGTTCAGAGGTTCCTAAAAAACAAGAGTCATGCGACTGTACAAAGAAATAAAACCATTGAATCCCTGAAGTACTGATTAGTGAAAGTTTATTGTGCACACACCAAAAGATGGTCGTGAACCGGGAGCACTCAGACCAATTCATGGAACGCGGCTGAGGGGTATATATTGTCATAAAGCATCTTCTGTAGTGAGAAGGCAGTGACTTTATGTTTCGCAGTGATGGGTTATGATTTTAGTTTTCTTAGATGCTAAGAAATTGGTTAGTGGCTACCACATACTGACCTTGGGAAACAGCTTGACTTTTGCTTACCATTTCCACAAGGCATAAATAAGAAATGACCCATGTCAAGTTAGTCTTGCCAAATAAGCCAATTAAGCTTTTGCCTGTATGACTAACTTGGTTTTGTCTGATCAGGGAATTATCAAGGCTGGTCTCCGTTTGTTTTTGATTTTAAGGGGACAGAAACCTTGGCCCCTTGCCGAAAAGTTTGCTGACCCTTGCTCTGGGTCATGGTCTGGCTGTAAAGTCAAAGAAGATGGCCCTGGGCAAAGCTCCTTTTCCTCCTCCAAAGCTCCAGAAGCCAGAGATCTAACCTACTCCCTTGGGTGTTTTCCAGACCTGCGATGTTTTACCCTGGGTGCACAGTAGACTCATTTGGGGAGCTTTTAAAAAATGTGATACTGATACTAATTCCAGATCAATTATATCAAAATCTGTCAGGGCGCAATATGAGCATTGCTGGTTGGCTTTTTTTTTTTTTTTAATGTTTATTTTCAGAGGGAGAGAACCAGTGGGGGGGGGGGGGCAGAGAGAGAGAGAATCCCAAGCAGGCCTGGCACTGACATCGCAGCGAGCTTGATGCAGGGCTCTATCTGATGAATTGTGAGATCATGGCCTGAGCTGAGATCGAGAGTCCGAAGCTTAACCCATTAAGACACCCCGGTGCCCCTGAGCATTGCTGGGTTTAGTTTCTACACTAGTACTAATTTGCATCAAGCTTTGAGAACTTTTAGAGGGTAGCGGATGGGATTTTGAGTTGGAAGTCAGGAGACCTGGAGTGTCACTCAACTTGCTTGTCTGGACATTGATTTAACCAAATTTTCCGTAAAGTGGTTTTGAAATTGCTCTACCAACAAGCCCCCTACTGAGATGGTCAAAGAATAAAGTATACAGAAATACTCATTAATTGTATTATGAAACACATGTTTTACAAGGAAGGTGTTTGTCTCCCAAATCTTAGCAAGGTTACGAACTGATGGAAAGTTGTCGTACTTTGCTTGATAATCATGATATTCAATATATGAATGAGGTTTAATCTTTAAAGGGGCTTACAGAAATGTGAGAGGACAGGAAAAGTAATCTTTGTAAGTGTCCCTGTTTATGAAATTTATGCAAGGGAGTTTAATTTTATCCTTTGAGTGGTTTGCAAATTTTCTGGAAGAGGCTTTTTGGCAGTTGACTAAATTTTGCTGCTTTCATTTGCCAGACTTTGTTTTGCTCCTCTTCTCTCCTTGTGTAATTTTGCCAAAATACTAGAGAATCTAGGCAGCTTCTGAGGGATCCCTTCCCTCTGGCTATGGAGAAATGGCTTCTGCTTTACATTCAGAAGCCGAGCTGTGAATCCATACGTAACTCAGTCTACCCACCTTCCCTGAGCTGCATGTATGACTCTCCTTTTTCAAGTTCCAAACTTCATTTTGGTGGTGCTGTTTGTACCTGATAAAAGATCCTTGTGTAGTTCAGCATTACAGCTCTACGGATATGCAGGTGTGTTAAATTGGAAATAAACCATATTTGTTTGGTTTAGAGAGCGTTTAAAATTTTGGATTAGTGGGGCATCTGGGTGGCTCAGTCAGTTAAGCATGGTTTGTGAGTTCGAGCCCCTCATTTGGCTCTTTGCTGACAGCACGGAGCCTGCTTGGGATTCTGTTTCCCTCTTTGTCTGCCCCTCCCTTGCTTGCTGTCTCTCTGTCAAATTAAATAAAAATAAACTTAAAATATTTTTGGATTAGTTTCCAGTTTTTAAAAATCTGAAATTTTCACCTAGAAGTCCAGATTCCTGGCTTCTTTTTGAAAAATTTGGAGATCTTTTGAAAAATTTGAGCCTTCATTAGCGCAGGACAGCACTCTGCGGGACCAGTTGGTTTATATTCCTTTCACTTCCCTGACCTGTTTTTACTCATTTAAGACAATAGTGCGGCCCCTGTAGGGCTGTAACTAGGCAGCTTACTGCTGAGCTACTCCCGTGTGCTCTCCCTTTACCCAGGACCCGTGTACAGATGCTGGGAAGACCCTGCCCTTTGTCTCTGTGCTCTTGGTAACGCTGTGTATTCTGGGGGGGGGGGGGGGGGGGGTAACACTCTCGTTTTGGTTTTTACAGAATTAAAGCTTATGCTTAGAAAATTCTAGTGTATCTGTCCTCAAAAAGCAGAGCAAAGAAGGGCAGCAGTTGCCACACTACTTTCTTTGAGCGGCGCTTTGTATCCAATGGGAAGTCAGATGTTCAAGGCCAACACCTCTTGTAACTGTTGGCCCTGACTATTAAAAAACAAACCAAGCTAAAAACAAAGACGCCATCATGTGTACTTCTGTGTGTGTTTTATTTTAGTTCCTAAGATCTCTTTGTAGCTATACTAGTTAACTTTCTTTCTTTCTGTATGTAGCTGTATAGTACTGTTACCTATTGTTGCCTGCGTGGTGATCCCTATGTGTTTTTCTACCTTTGTGTTTTCATTGCCCTTTCTCTGTGCTGTCAGAGTGGAAAGGTTATCTGGGTTTGAATGCCTAAAATGACTTTAGAAGACAGTACCTTTGGTTAGAGCAGAATCAGTCCCCCGGGGACAGTGGGACAGGATATTTTCTGGCTATTAATAAAAAAATATCTCTGGTGGAAACTGATAAATACCCACCTAGGGGGAGAGTGGAGAACCAGGGATCCTAGGTTAGTTGTATATGATTAGTGTCGTTTCGTTTTGTTGTTTTTTTTTCTTTCTTTCCTTTTTTTTTTTTTTTTTTTTTTTTTTTTTTTTTGGAGGCAAATTTGTATGTTTGCTTTATGGAAGAGGGTCTGCATGAATAAAAAAAGGTGCTATGGGGGCGCCTGGGTGGCGCAGTCGGTTAAGCGTCCGGCTTCAGCCAGGTCACGATCTCGCGGTCCGTGAGTTCGAGCCCCGCGTCAGGCTCTGGGCTGATGGCTCAGAGCCTGGAGCCTGTTTCCAATTCTGTGTCTCCCTCTCTCTCTGCCCCTCCCCCGTTCATGCTCTGTCTCTCTCTATCCCAAAAATAAAATAAACGTTGAAAAAAAAAAAATTTTTAAAAAAAAAAGGTGCTATGATGTGTTGACATTTGGTTTAAAAAGTTTGATATATACACCTATTCAGCATGTGCAGATATAGCATATTCCAAAGTATTTACAAAATAAATAACTTATTCATGTTACATATTCACTGAAAGGGAGTCAATCCCTACAAAGTCTATAATCTACCATTTAAGTGCTCACTCTACTTGCCACTCTGATTAGGTGCTTTTTCTGGGCTATTTTATTTATTTTAATGTTTGTTTATTTTTGAGAGAGAACAAGCAGGGGAGGGACAGAGAGAGAAGAGAGGGGGACAGAGGATCCGAAGCAGGGTCCTAGCTGACAGCAGCGAGCATGATGTGGGGCTTGAACCCAAGAACCATAAGATCATGACCTGAGTGGAAGTCACATACTCATCCTCAACCCACTGAGCCACCCAGGCGCCACTGGGGTCTTTTATTTAATTGTGATGCTGGCTTCAGGGCTTCTGGGCTGTCTTAGAACAAGGTCACATCTCCCTGGTGTTGGGTCCCTGGCCTGGAACAGTTAAATAGCTCGCTAGAAAGGGGTGGGCCTGGGATTTGGACACAGATCTTTCAACTCCCGTGTTCTTTTCCTGTGACTGGTAAAGATCATTCACCTGTTTTCTTTGTTTAGCAGCACTTGTTCTCTCAAACTTCTTGCACTTTTCTTTGACTAAAGGGCAATGGGCCTGTTGTGGTATCAGGAACCATTACAGGATTGACTGAAGGAGAGCATGGATTCCACGTCCATCAGTTTGGAGATAATACACAAGGTGGGTGTTGTGTTGGTCCAGTGACTCCTACCTGTTTCACATAGTAAGATAAATGTACTGAGTAGAGCTACCCCTTAACATGAAAAAAAAAAAGTCAAGATAATATGATTACTAAGGTCGACCTTAGGGAAATGAGCCATAGCACTGGCTTTGGACTCTTTAAGTGTGGAAAGGAAGAGGAAGAAGTTGATGTGGTTTTTGTTTGTTTTTTATGATCATATCTTGATTATAAAAGAGTCTCAAGTATTTTTTTAGAAAACAAAAAAGCTACTTTCTTACTGCCATAGTGATCGCAGGTGTTTGTGAGCTGGGGTTGAGGGTGGGTGCTTCAAGCACAGGGTCTGCATTTATTTGCATCATCCTGTAAGAATAGCTCCATGCTGCCGACGCAGGGGTCTTAGTGGGACAGAAGTAAAGTCAAATATGAAAAAAGAATGTAAACTCTTGATGCTTTGGATTGAGTTCCATTAATTAGAAGCAAGTTAACAAAAGTTTATGGGTTAAAATGCATTTAATCCTCTTCTACCGTTTTTGAGTAATCTGAACTGGGTGTTGAGACTTTTTATGGTGAAAACTTGATTCATCTTGCTGGAATTTGTTTTTACTGTTCTGTAATTTAGTTCCTGTAAAAATTGTGATTTAATGACACGCTTTGATCTATTTCAACATTACTAAAACTCCTCAGGTTGCTCTTTACTTTTTTACTGGCTCTGCTTTGGGAGGTGTGTGCCATGGACTTACTGTGCTGCTTCCTGTTAACCTGTGTGTCTTCTCCCTGGGGGAGCTGGGGAGTAGCTGTAAACAATGGAGACTTTCCGTCACCTGCTGAGGGAAGAAAGCCATGTCACAAAAGCACTTTCTGCATTGTCGTGTTCTGTGAGAAAGGCCTTCCCTGGAGCACAAGAGTGCCATTTTTACAGAATATATTCTGAATGCCAACTCCTGGAGTTCTGTGAGGCAACAGCCTTGGCCCTTAGACAGAAGGTGCCATTTTATATTCTGCGGGTACCAAGTAAAGGCCACAGTAGGGCTCTTTGGTAGTGTGTTGCTGGGGAGGTGAGTTTTTGTAGTTAAGGTATGCTACCTTATAAACTACAGTCATAATCCTGGGGTTTTAACGATAGAAGAACCATGAAGATCAAGTCTTGGCCCTCTTGTTTTACGGGGCAGTGAAGAAATCAAAGCCCAGAGAAGGGTATTACCTTTACCGCTGTCACACACACTAGTTAGAGCTTGTCCCTACTGCTTGCCTATTTTATTTTGTCTTAAGGTGTTGCTTCCTGTTTTTATGAACCTAGAAGTTATGATGTAGGTCAGTATTTTCTCTGTTTGAGGTTTTAGTAATGACCAGTTTGTTTTAAGAATTTATTTTGGAATTCTGATTCATAATTTAGCTACCTTTTTGTTTTTGCTTTTGGCAAATAGGCTGTACCAGTGCAGGCCCTCACTTTAATCCTCTATCCAAAAAACATGGTGGGCCAAAAGATCAAGAGAGGTGAGTGACAAAGTGCTTAACTCTTATCAAAAGTATGGCACTGGCTTGTTGGGTCAGAGCGGGTATAATACTTGCAGATTGCACGCTGACGTAACTGAGTAGTCTTCCCCACCTCTGCTCTTGAATTCATTGCCCTCTAGGTAGGCCCTCTATGTAAGTATGCCTCCCACCCCGCCCCAAGTAACCCTGTATCCCCAAGTGCTGGAGCGGCTTATTCCCTGGGCTGGTAATTGACAAATGGGGACACTTAAGACGATTTGGTTTTGTAGCATTTATTGAATATAGAACTAATACAAGTGCCAAAGGGAACTAATACAGGAAATGTCATGAATAACAGTACTGTCAACCACTAGCAACATAAACCATCATTGTGAAACATAGGTAGCCTTGTAGATAAAATTGTTACTGAAAATTCAGTGAGTCCATTTGTATGTGTGTTTCCTGAGAGAGCCTTTCAGGAAAATACTAAATTTAAGGACTGGGAGTAATTTATTTTTATAACAGGCCTGGGGCATAGCTTTCTTAGCCATGCCAAGAATTAACAGGCATAACTCAGAATTTACCCTTTGGTACTTTACCTCTGAAATTCTAGATGTGCCCCCATCCCACGATTCTTCCCAGAGTATTACTTTGTAGATTTGAAGCTTTGAAGAGCAATGGGTCTAGAATGTCAAGTTGTTCCTAGTTTGTATGTTCCAAAATTTTGTCATTCTGAAAAAGTGGGTCCTGTTTGATACATATTATATCCACCTCTTTGTCCATCCTTATGTATCTGACTCAGTTTTTAATTCAGCTCACAAACTAGCCTGATGGTAAGGTAAATGGAAATCAGTCCTAATCCCTGACCCTTTTTCAATGTTAGGCATGTTGGAGACCTTGGCAACGTAACTGCTGGCAAGGACGGTGTGGCCAACGTGTCTATGGAAGATTTTCTGATTGCGCTCTCAGGAGACCATTCCATCATTGGCCGCACGATGGTGGTGAGTTTTCATATAATAGGGTATGCATACAGTTTTTTCTAACAGTCCTATATCTTCTCACGATTTCATGATTATTGATCCTGATCCACATACATTGTACTTTTAGTTCATATTAGGAAAAGCAGTTAACCTATTGATGACAGTGACGATGAACTAATGATCTAGGTTGGTTATGAACACTGTTCTGCTAAGATGCAGTAGTAAAGTAGGTTACGTTTGATCATATTAGATCCATATTGTGGAAGCAGAAGTCGTCTTTGTCTGGTTTTTAAATGGCCGTATTTTCTTGCCACGATTGAATGTCC